AATGTAGGTGTAGTATGAATCAGGAAATATTGCACTGATATATTGTTTATAAGGTATAAAAATCTATAGTCATTGTGATAAATATGGACAGTGAATCTTAGGCAATGACTGGACAAATTTGTTTAAAAGAAGCAATTGTGATTAAGCCTAACCAAAGCATTCCACTGAAAATCTAGGTTTGAGTTTCTCTTGAAAAACAAAAGTATGGGGATAGAGTGGCATTATTTTCATATGTAGGGAATCTTGGGGTGGTACTATGCCTTCCCAAAGTCAAGTTCCCTCTTGGTTACTCCTCCATCAAATTCTTGCCACATGTCTGCACTCAGTGACACCTTGCTGTCTGACATTTGACTTGCATTTGCATCAGGAAGTCTATTCCTTCACATTCCTTGTCTGGTTCCTGTGGTTGCTGAGTTTACAACTGCTGCAGACCTACACTAATATACTGCCAAATGACTTTATAACTTACAAATACTTTAGGAACCAACTGTAGAGGAATTTAATTGTGCTGTTAAAACTCATTTAGTATTCCATTAGAATAAAAATTTACAAAATAATTAACAATATCAAGTTTCATCAGGGATATGGACAGCTAGATCTTATAAAATTTTGGAGAAAACAAAAATTTGTAAAACCTTTTGGAAAACGTATACCAAAATATGTTATTAATAATAGTCAAAACCCAGAAGCAACATGGAAGTCTAGGAAATAAACCCACTGCAGCATGACACAGCACAGAACAATGGCACATGAACCCGAGGTCAAGTATAGCAAGAACTCAATGAAATGAGTTTAGAAAAGACTGCAAGTGCATGGTGCATGTTACAAGCCCGGCAGGTGTTTGAGAAACGTAAACTGGTGTTCAAGATTGACAAGCAGGGTGTCTAGAGAACCAGTCATGGGCACATTCTTAAAATTTAGCCCCAAGATGGATTTGTTTGGGCTTTGTCGCTGTAGGTTTTATTTGGAGAAAGTTTTTCTTTAGGAGGAGAAGCAGGGAATAAGGTTAAGGCAGAGCAGTGAAAAATTGGAACAAAGTTAAAGTCTAGATGTCAGTTACATTGAGAAACTCATATGCTTCACAATGGTAAGTTCAGACTTTTAAGTGACTAATAACGTAGTACCTCAGTTTTGGTAAAGCAGTCTTAGAACTGCTGGTTTTACAATACTGGCCAATCATATTTAATCTAGTACATATAAGACATCAAGAGGAGATCTCCAAGTGGTTTTAAACATGATTTTAATAACTGTTAGTAGTAATATATATCAGTATCCTTTTGTTCCTAAATGGAGAAAAAGGTATGGGTCCTGCTAGCTGCAATATGTTCCCACATCAGCTACTTCCAACATGTCAAGGTTAGCCAGGAACAAAGTAGTGCATGCAATAAGATACTCCACAGTTCTGAGCTGGGTCAGGAGAGGCAGAAACTACAGGGAAGATGAACTAAAGTGTGCCTCTTGGGTACTAATATCACCCAGGAATGAGAACAGAATGCCACACCTTCTTTACACACACACACACACACACACACACACACACACAACTAAAATGTGCCTCTTGGGTACTAATATCACCCAGGAATGAGAACAGACTGCCACGCCTTCTTTACACAGACTTATGTGTGCGCGTGCATACACACACACACATACACACACAACACAAAGAGAGAGAGAGACAGCAACAGAGACATAGAGAGACAGAGACAGAGACAGAAAGATCTCCCCTTAGTTTGTGAATCTAAATTTTAGAGAATCGGGCCAGGGAGCACGCTAAAAAGTTATTGTATGAGTAGATCAAATATTTAATGGTTTTTTTAAAATTCATTTTTGCTGCTGACCCTACAGAGAAGATGAAGCTAACTCAGAATCTTATTATTATAAAGATTTAAATTGCTGCAAATCCAAATAATTATAATTCTGTTTCCTGAAGTTCTTGCTTCTGTGATCACATTGTTGGTCTAGGAGCTTATGAACTAGATATGACTGCCAAAAAATTTTAAAAGATGAAATTGATATTCAGGAGAATGTATGTTGTGACTAAGGCCATGTGTCTTTATGGAAGTTTTTAATTAAAAATGTTATGCAAAACTTACATACTACTGCCCCTCTTTCAGTCTCTAGATATGGGGAACAAATTCTAAACCAAAAATTCTTCTTTTTAGTAATTGTAGGGTCTTGTTCTAGGAGAAAAATAATGTTTATTAAGGAATCTAAATTTATCACAGAGAATGTAAGTATTTCAAACAAGGATTACTTTATTTTCATTTTTAATCTTAGAGGCATATAATAAATAAATTACCATGTATTTATTGCATAACTGAAAATATTTTTCCTTTTCTGCAATAGACATGTGCCTGAAGATAGCTTTTGGAGTAGGGTGAATTCCACACTTCAAGCTCTGCCTGATTCATGTCTGATAAGGAGTAATGTGATAAGGACATAGTCTCTGCTCTCTGACTACTGACCAGCCTCAGGAGTGGCGTCATGCACTGATAGCTGAGTTTGGGCCAGCAATGGTCTTATTTGACTAATTTCTAAAGAAGAAAGCAAAAAAAAAAAATTGTAATTTGAGCCATCAGCAAGCAATAGAGTGGTGATTTATTTTTATTTTTTCATTTCAATCTGAAAACTGGGTTCTAGTTAGCTAGTATGTTGTACATCAGTGACCACCCACTCTAGCCACTGGAAACATAGACATATAGACATAAAAGTATCTGTAAGGTTTAGTGAGGTTGAAAAGAAAGTAAAATTAATACCTCAGGTTTAAGAAGAGAAGGCCTCAGCAATTGTTGATGCTGCCAAAGGAAATTAAAACAGAAAAAAATTTAGAAAATAATTAGATAAGAAACAGAATAAGATTGAAAAGAGAGGAGGGGAAAGAAGGCAACTTAAAACTTGTTACTTTAGGATTGTGATTCATTATTCATGTGATGGCAACCAAAACTATGAAATGATATTTTAGACAATTACTTATGAACATAAAGTAACAAGGAATCCAGTTGTTTTAATTTCATGAATGCTCTAACTAACCAAAATGTAATAACCTTAATAAACAAGTCCTACAAAGATGGTTTTGTTTAAGCTTCATAGTGTGAAGGAATATTGAGACTTCTGAAGAAAAAAACCACAGGGCTATTTTGACAAGTCTAACCTTGTTCTAAATTTGCCTCATTTCCCTCCCCATCATATTAAGCATAATCAGATCCATTGGGAAGAATAATAAAACACATGT